ACTCCAGTGTTTACCGAAGGGTTCGGTACACATACCAGAAGTACTTCGGTATGTACTGAAGTATTTCAGATGAATGACCCGAACTTCGGCAGGTGGACCTCAAGTTTTTGGATGCGCGATTCGCAGACTTTAGAGATCCGTGCGAGCTCAACTTTGGGTCCCGCGCTCGAAGTTTCTTCTCCGTGTGACTGTGATCTTATCGACCAAATGAAGTAACTCTTGACAATCAAGATTTGACTATTTCGGCCCTTCATTCACTTTTTGCTAACCGAAAGTTTTCCTGAGAAAAGGACTAAGGTGGACCGATGGGCTATCTGCTTTGACAATAAATCAAATTGCCCGATTCGACCAACAATCTGTGGTTTTCAATTCATACACTGGAAAAAAACACATTGGATCTAGAGTCCAGACTCTTAAAAGCATTGACAAGAAAAAATACTCTTGATTCAATCAGATTTTTGCTTAAATCAAGAGAAAATCCGCTCGAATTAAGAGGCTTGGTTCTTGATTTAAGCAAAAATCCGATTGAATCAAGAGTATTTTCTCTTGTCGATAGTTTTAAGAGTCTAGACTCTAGATCGGATGTGTTTTTCTTTCCAGTGTAAATCCTAAATCCATTTTCCAGGTCATAATTGCTTGAAATTTGACAACAAAGCAGGTGGAAACATGCGATGTATTCCGTTTCGAGACGTAAAGCTGAGCTCATGGTCGGGGGATTACGTCGGTCGGCCCGTTCATAATTCCTCACGAAATTGGTTTTCCATCATCTCCGCGACGTATTAGCCCTCTCCCGCGGCTGCGGATTTTACCTCCATTCACGTACCAGATACCGGGCCGAGGCATTATTAAAAGCTCCTTTTCAACTCAGATCACTGCCAAATCGTGGATCATCCAATTACACACACTTCTCTCCTTCGTCTCACCAATTTCCATGGCTTTTACTTAAAATCAAACGTTACGCTCAGAGAGGGTTGATACGATTAGAACCGATGCTTGCGTCAGCTCCTCGCTGGAAAAATACTTGGAAAGTAAATAAGTATACAGGAATTCATATATTGATTGCTTCGAACCATAGTGCTACACGTGTACCTGAGCACGTTTTCCTCTGAATCATCATGCTTTACAGCTCGAGTAAGGATGAGGTGTCGTTTCCGGGAGAAAGAAGCTTCATGCCTGGGACAGATCGCAGCTCAGGTCATATATACATGGATTTCCGAAGTTTTCGGGATGTGCATCCAAAATTATGAGGTCATCCTGCCGAAGTTTCTGTCACACGCGTAGTATTTTCGTACTTCGATGCCATAGAAGTTTCAGTTGAAGTACCAAAGTACTTCAGATGTAACATTTGAACTCCCACAGCTGGATCCTAAGTTTTTGGACGTGCGATCTGAAAACTTTAGAAATCCTTATCGACTGAACTTCAGTTCTGATGCACGGAGTTTATTGCTGAAGTATGACTGAATTCAGTTATACTTCCTGGAAAATATAGGAACTATTAATAGGCATTAAGACTAAAAGAAATCTGAAAAATCATAAGCATCACTTTACTCATAATGATTTGGGTTGATTTCTGGTCTAGCTTAAATTTTTATTCAAATTTTCATGATACATATAATATCGAAGGAACAGAAAAAAATTGTGGCTCAGCGATTCCGAAAATATCATTCAAAAAACCTGAGCAATTGCCGTAGCCGTAAGAAAAAAAAAGAAGTGAATCTATGGCTGAAAACTTGGGTTTAACCTTGTCAACCATTAATACTGATGAGACTGCGCGTGCGCGTGTCTTTTCGTAATGGAGGTTGCTCAACACGTTGATAAACAGCAAACGAAAATGGCACATGCGTGAGTTTATGTTTACATTTGACTCAATTTACAATGTATTGAATTTAATCCAAGGTCGTCAATCGGTTGGAAAAAAAACTATTAACGAGTTGCACAATATTTACAGATTCCAGGAACGCTTAAAACTTTTATCAGGTCTCGTCAAAATAATTTTACTCCGAGTTCTCTTGCAATTTCGGCAGTGATAACCTGGAATGGAGCTCCCACTCATTGTCAGTTTTCCCGTGGGCACGTTCTGGGAACACTAAAATACAGCACAAAACACGTGAAACGAACATCCGAATTCCACGTTAACTTTTTGCACTTGGGTATCGCGGTTGGCACATTTCTCGTGGGTGTGTGCATGGCATGAAACTGAGTGTGAGTCGATAGGACAACACAAATTGGAGCTCACCAATGTTTACTCTCGACGCACCCGCAATGCTTTGGTGCTGAGACGACATCTTCAGCAGAAACTTCAACAATCTTTTAAATGTTAAATTTTTTCAACTGTCGGTTCAATATGTCACTCTCTGTTACAGTTAGACAGTTTACTTCGTTTCTTGTTTGTCACTTGTCTCCATTCTTGAGTTTGCCCGATATGATTTTGTTTCATGTTTGCCTACTCCGCGTGCCCTAAACAGCTCTCGCTCTTTTTTCGTGCAATGACTACAAACAAATAGTGTTCGTTGAGAATCGTTGCCAGACCAAATATCATTTCCTCCGAACAGTTGGATGAAACGATTTTGTATATTGTACGTTATGACAACATTGGTACCCAGATCATGCTCTTGACACTACATGGCTGCCAAAATTGTCTTCAAAATTATCCAGTTTTGGAGCGCAGGAATGCAGGGTATTTACCCTGCGGCCTGCACGATTTATTGATAAATCCGAGTTGGAAAAAATCATGATATGCACCAACACAGTGAATGAATGATGTCGATCACCGTTTTTTTCGAGGGAAAAAATCTTCGCTGAAATGCGTCATGAGACTTCGCGTTCAGATATAGCATTTCGAATACATACAGGACTCGATTAATACCGCACGATTGAAGGACAAGTTTAAAAAAAAAAAAAAAAAAAAAAAAAAAAAAAAAAAAAAAAANAAAAAAAAAAAAAAAAAAAAAAAAAAAAAAAAAAAAAAAAAAATTGAACTCGGCCAATCAAAACCCATTGGGGGCAGATTTGGGGCACCCACATTTTTTACACTCATTCGGAACATTGAAAGCTTTTTTGCACGAGACGAAAACTTTCCTCTTAACTTGCGCCAAACATTATGCTTTTTCAAAACTAACTACTAAATCATCGAGTTAATGAACATGATCTCGTTAACTTTAAAGCGTGAATATTCAGTGCATTCAATGGAGTGGAGAAGGGTTGGGGGAGAAAACCAGATGAATTACAGAAATACGAGGTTAATGAACCCGCGAATTGTATTGGATTGAAAAGCGCGAGGTAAGCACTGGATTTTCATAGTACGAGGGTAGCTCGATGCAGGATTAAAGCTTATTTTGTGCTGTCAGACTCAATGAAGCTCAGCCGCAGAGACCTTTGGCCAGACAGAATACCACTGAAACATAAACCCCAACTCTGTGATAATAATTCACTCCTTTTCATGTGCATTCAATCCAATTCGGACAAAATATAGGGATAATTCAGCACTTTTTTTCATAGAACAAATTATGATGAAACGAGAATGACAATGTATCAATTAAAAAATTATATTGATTATGAAACGATCCTGTTGGGAATAAGTCGTTGCGAATCCTTTCGTTGTGAATATCGCAAAATTTCTTTCTCGTGCGTTTTCCGTCTGAATCTAGCGTGTGCTAAAATTGTATTTTTGTTCCAGCTCAATAAATAATTTTTCTTAAAATTCATCGTTGTTTTATGAACGCATACAACGAGACGACTTTTGAGACGACCCCCCCCCCCCCCAAAAAAATTTTCAAGGGGTCGTCTTGAAAAGAGGCAAGAACCCCGGGAGCTAAAGGGGCGGTGCGGTATTTTTGGATCACCTTGTATAGTTGAACCGGTTCTTGGGGAGCGTGGTCAGTACTTGACAGTATATTTACATTAATTCGTTTATCTTTCGTGACATCCACCTTCAAGATTGGTAGCTTCCTCGGGGAAGCTACCATGTCACGTTTGCTGCCTCCGAGAGTGCATCCTAGTTATTCCATTTCAATGGGCACTACGGAAACCCATGTGAGAGTAATGGCTTTTACGGCTCAGAAAAAATTTTCCAAATTCATCTCAAAATCTGAGAAGCCATTTTAGCAGAGAAACCAAACTTTTAAGCACCGGATGCTACCCTCTAGGAACCGTAAATATTATTGAGGATAAAACCTAGCCCTTAGTGGCAGTACTAAGTAGACAGTACTATAATAGTGCCTACTCTGTACTGAGGCGTTACATGAACGTTAGCTTTCCCAATTCATGAATAACTTTTGGAGTTGGAAAGCAGCATCTAATTTTCGAAGCTTTATTCGATTCAGAACAGCACTGAGCGAGCAGAATTGAGTGGAAGTCGAAAGAATTTCCCTCGATTCTCTGAAAATTCGAGGAGCAAAAAAGGACAGAAAATAAATATATGAGGTCCAATAATGCCTTTTGGTGCGCGTTTGGATAGATTTAATATTTATGAACACAGCCCGTCAGGCCGAGGCATTTTATGCGGACCGTGATGTTTATTTTATCCGTTTTTTTGTTTCATCTGAGAGTAGCAAAAGCTGTAAGAGCCGCTGAGTCAAGAGAAAGAATCTTATTGACTTTTCACAACTATTATGACCGTAGTATATATCGGACTGTATTATTGGTCTTTGAACTGGTCGACATATGCTGTCACGAAATCGAATTTATGGGACTTGACGTTGGTGGACAGAGTTATGGATGACAGGAAAAAAGAACCATGCATCCGATCATACAGATTAAAAGCGAACTCTCCTCAGATTTGTCAATAGTTTACGCAAAGAACAAGTCGATTTTTTCATAAAAACTTCGCAAAATGACAGTTGTTTTAAACGTATAAGTAAACGGATATAATGCAACACTGCGTGGAGTGCATAACTCTATACTTAAACCATTGTAGACCTGCCTTCAAAAAAACATAACATAGAGGTTAAATACTAAATTAATTTTTTATTTTTTAAATAAATGCTTTGGAATTTACTTACAAACTAAGTAATGTTGCCATTCAATGACTTCTTAAGTAGAATAGTTACCTGAAACAGACAAAGAAATAAAATTGAGTATAATAAAGCACGGGAAAATGGTAAATTATCCTGAGGCTAATTTTTCTGACTAAATTTCAATTTAAAAAACCTGCAAGAAGGATAATTCGCAACTTTCTAAAAAATTTAGAAAAATGGTAGTATCCAATCTCTCGGCATCTAATTGGTTTGGAAAATTTTATATCCAGTATTATCGAGTGTCACTGACACACATGAGTTTAAAGCTCTGTTAAATTATTTTTTTGCTTACTAAAAGCCTGACACTCAACAATTTTAACACAAACAAACACACCAAAAAAGGTCACATACTCGATTCAAGGGGCAGATTCAACGAGGCACTTGGCCGTCCAGAATTATGCACAGTGCTTTTTCTACCGTCCAACGCCAAAAAACGCCATAACCCATACTAAGAATTTGCGTTTTCCTTCAAGCATACTAATCTATTACGAGATAACCTTATCAACATGATGTTCCATCTTGCAAATTTGAATTCTTAGTGATAAGGCTCAGTTATGTTATTATTCAGATGGATGAATGCTCGTTGGCTCTTCGGTTAAAAACTGAAAGGACAAAAAAAATCGAGAATGAAGTTACAGCGTCTCTGCTGTGGACGTCAATCTTGGCTCCTGTATTGTTTGTGGACTCAAAACTTTTAAAGTATGTGCGGAACAGCGACGCCAAGGTATACTGCCGTGCTAAGGAAAAACGCCGAACGAGCCTTTATGCGTTGCCAAATTTCCTTCTAAAAATCACGAGTTTTCAGGAAAATTTGTGAATATATTTTCTTCAAATTTTCAGTAGATTTTGTTCGTAATTTTATTTAAAAAGTCAGAAAATTTCAAGGTGAAATATGCATACTTTCTTCACAAATACAAGTTTTATTTGGGGAAATTCGGCAACTCTCGAATGCTCATACGGCGTTCTTCTTTAGCACGGCAGTATACCAAGATCGAGGGGAAAGGTGAAGGTCTAATGGTAAATCAATCAACTGGCCGACTGGCCGAGTCTCCAAGAGATCTGAAGGGCATTAGAATAGCCTCGTATCAATTCAAATACGTGTAACTTACACCTCAGAGATAAACAAAGTAAAAGGATTTGGACTCTAAGTGATTGGCCATGGAAGCTTATGACGGAGAGTAAACTGTTGATGGCGGAAAATCAGTGAGTGGACTTTCCCACCACGTAAAAAAGACCACACTTGCGAGGGAAATTCTCTGCTAAAATAATCATGATTGGAAACCAAAGATTCACAGAAAAAATTTTGTACTGAAATATTATTTTGACTTGAAGCGACGTTTCTCGTCGGCAGGTTTTTTTTTTTGTTTTTGTTAAATCCGTGCGAATTAAACTTAAAGTCGGTTTTTTTAGTTAAAAAAACTTTGCTTTCCTAACGTTTACTAAAAAAACCGAATTTTGTCGACAAGAGACGACGCTTTAAGTCAAAATAATATCTCAGAAATTGTTTTTTCAGTATTTGTTAGGATGCCAGTCTCACAAATATGAAGCGTACGGTTCTTTAATTTCTCAACGTTGCAACGCGGATATTTTTCAATGGCATCCATAATTATTTTGAGACTTCATCTCCATAAATCGACAAAAAATTCCGTTTGGTGACAAGTGCAGTTGATAAATCGTACCATAAACAAAAGAAAACAGCGTATGCTCAGCGAAATATCCACATTTTTGGTGAATTTGATGGGCTCAGTGAGGTATTCGATGGTAATATGTGACTAAAAATAATACAGCCGCTCTCTCGTCAAAGAAGAGTGAGCAATTTTAATTGGAACAGGACGCCTGGGGAGATCGTCTGCACGATGATAGCCGAAACGTGGAAAGATTGATGTCAGTGTGAAATCCTCGAAAATATGCGGAGAAAAGCACGTTGAAAATTAGATCAGTCAGACCGATTAAACGTGGCGATAAACATTCCTGCATGGCTAACCGTATCGTTAAACTTTTTTTCACGACTGAATCATCTTAAATTGGGATTATGCGAGGTTTTTACACGGATTAATCTCAATTTTAATGACTTAAAAGTACGTATCCTGTTCATCATTATACTACGATGCAAGTTTGATTGATCAACGGATGATAACGCGAAGATAGGATGAGAGGTGTACTTTAAATTTTTACGGCTCCGATCTCATCGAAAATTGATGACCATTCTTTCGGACGAGAGTGTGCTTTGGGCCCATTCTGACTATTTTATCAAAGGGAGGTATGAGGTGATTCGATGGACGCCATATTTTGTGTCAGAACGGCATGCGATATATCGCATCAATTGGTTCCATTTTTTCAGCTACTCGTCATTTTCCTCCAAATTTGAGATCGCAATTCTGTTGCCAGGAGACTAAAGCTCTCACTTACCATTTTAACATAAAAATTCAACGTAATAAAGGCGTGGTTTTTTTAGAGAGAAAATATCGCATTCGAGTGCAGTTTCGATATCAGTATCGAATGCAATGTTTTCTGGTAATTGGATGAAAATTGTTTACAAATTTTCCCGAGAATTAGTGATTTACCTAAGTAAAGGCAACGCCTAGAGGTTCATACGGCATTCTTCCTTAGCACGACAAAATAGCCTGAGTTGCTGAATGTCTCTAAATAAATTAACTAACTATAACTAACTTAATCATATCATGTTATTCATGAGAGATTTTTCGAGGACTGCCGACCAGGGTCCTTAAATTATGCAATTATGCTGACTTTACCGCGGCAAGAAACGCAAATGCGGGAGAGAATCAAGGATGTCAAGGCCTTTGGCAGTAAAACGATATGCCGGGAATCGAGCGGACCGTTGAAGCTGAAACTTGAAGTTACGAGAGCGCTACTCAGTGTTTGAGCTTTTAATTACGAGCACCATCAAATTCGGAGACACGTGGCCATAAAACACGGATTTTATGACATCAAACAAAAGAGAAACACACGCACTCGCGCGAGCGTAGCATTCTCCATAAAAGAGTCATTAGGGTGCAAGCTACGTCGCGCGTCGCGTTTTCGATTGTGTTTCGGTGCTTGGCCAGCATGCGCGATTCGCAGCGTTGAGCACGGCGTTGTACTTTTAATTCAGCTTATTCGATTTCCTCCTTGACAAAACAACCTTTGCTCTGTTATTAGTACAGCTCTTTTCACAAGTGCCTACATCGCGAAATTTGCTCGGACCATCATACTGATAGACTTTTTATCATAGTACAGCGGGTAGAAAAAGAGTGTGAATTAGGCAGTTCTTAATCGGAAAGACCGCCGTATCTCTCACTGACGAAGGACTGAAATCATCATAGTCAGGGTGTCTACTAAAACAAGGCTGGCCAAAAATCAGTACTTTTAGAGTACTTTTTCAGTGCATTCCCAAGAAATTCAGTACCTCCTCAACAGAAAAATTCAGTACTTTTTCAATACCTTCGACTGACGAAATTCGAAAAATTTCAAAAATACTTTTGATAGCACTGTAATGGAGATACGTGGTTTGGCACTTTGACCACAGAACTGCCCGGTATTAATTGGACTGCATTTTGCAATTTGGAACTATAAATTCTGGCTCTTCTGGAAAAACACCTACGTGGATAGGGTAACTAATGACATGTGCGTTGTTTTTAAACCGGGCTAGAATTTGTAGTTCCAAATTGCAAAATGTAGTCCAATCGCACTACTTTCTTGCAGTGTTTACTGATGTTACGTCAGTAAGTACACGTCCCTGACTGACCACCGTTTTCCATTTCTCTGTATGGAGAAAGACCTCACACGAAAGGGTCGAAAACACCCCCGCCATGCTCAGCTGGACCATTTAAAATTACGTCAACGGTCACCGATACACGGATTACGTCACGGACATTCGCCTGGCCGCGACCAACTCCGCGCCTGGAAATCTCGGGTTACGTTCCCTAGTACTCTGATTACTATGATTAATGAACTCGGGCTGTGCACACACGAGGCGATGACGTCATCACCTCCCAGTCATCCAGTCGCAAAAACACCCGACCCAACGCAAATGGTCTCGTAAAAAGGACCTCCAGCGGAACGTAACGGGAAACGCATCACCTGCATCCACGCACGTCAGTCGTCAAGTTACCAGATCGTGCAAAAATCCGTATGAGTCAGTGGTGTGGTGTTTTTTGCGATATATCGATTTAACTACCCTTTAAACCTATGGAAAAGGATCCATAAACAGGGTGTTTGCGACGAACACCTTAATAATCGATACTTTATCACAGTCTAAGTGCGGAAACAGCGATAAGCGATAACTCACGCTTTGCCACTAGTTTGAGTACACGTCATTAAATCTTACAACTGCTTTTTTTTTCTTTATTTTTTTTTTTTTTTTTTTTTTTGAGGGGGATGGAGGGAGACCGATATAGTTACGGAAAAATCTACACATGCCACACTACAATTTTTACATTCACATTTGAGTCCATGTGTTGTTCATCTGTGAGGATTCATCAAAGATCATTACTCAGGAGAGGTAAAACTTCTCGACCACGCAACTGGGGGGTCGCGATTGGTGACGGCCCGAAAACGGGTATTAAAGCAAGAAAGCCGGAAAATGGCTAAAAAAAAAAAAAAAAAAAAAAAAAAAAAAAACTGGTGAAAAGCACGTGTTCTTTGTACAATCGCGGTAAAAATTACGTGTTTTTGCAGAATCGCCTTCAGACTCATGTTTCGACCGAAAATAATGAGCTCATGATGCATTCCGTAAAATATACACCCTTAATGAACTATGATTGTGAACTAGAAAAATGACCCTTACCGACACCCTTCTTTTACCGTTTTCTTGAGAAAGGGGGTAACTTCACAGGTTCTTTGATTGTCTATACCTAAACTTTCAATCCCGCCTCTCATTTTTCTTACCATCTCTTCTTTTTGCGTCTAATTTTGGCAGCTACGCGCGATGGGTGCTCCCGTCGTCTGCCGCGTCAACGGAGCGTGGCATCAAGGCATGGCAGGCACGACCCCAGCCCTGAGACCGAGATTCCAGTAATTTATTCCTTGTTTTACACGTTGCGTAATTAGCAAGCAGTGGGAATCCAGGGATCGCAAAGAGCTGACAACTGCTTTCGTCAGAATTCGCGGCTCTCCTACCGGAGGAGTAATGACAGGAGGCGTATGGGAAAAATTTACGATCGGACACACTGTTGGAAACCAGATATGCATCCATGCTGAGTTCAGTAACCATAATAAAAGTGGCTAATAAACGCAGCCAGCAAAAGAAAAAAAAAGAAGTTAAAAATAGATGTACCTAATAGTGCCAGCACTGCCGTGATTTTTGCGGATGTTACTTCTGGTCCTTATACCTAAGTGCTGGTACCTCTTATTAATGGAGATGTTGCAACTTGGAAAACATCGAACAATGCCATCCAGCGGTATTGTTTTCCATATACGAGGA